AGGAGTTCGAGACAAGCCTGGCCGATATGGTGAAACCCTGTCTTTACTAAAAATACAAAAATTAGCCGGGTGTGGTGGCGTGTGCCTGTAATCCCAGCTACTCAAGAGGCTGAGGCAGGAGAATTGCTTGAACCCAGGAGGTGGAGGCGGCAGTGAGCTGAGATTGCGCCACCGCACTCCAGCCTGGGCAACAGGAGTGAAACTACGTCTCATGAAAAGAAAAAAAAGGACCCTCTGTGTTCTGCTTTTAAGCTGAATTCCATCTTTTCTGATAAGATTTCAATTTGTTTACCTTTGCTTGATAAATCTTTTGAAAAAATATTTGTGTGTGTAACTTGAGTCCTCAGATGACATTATGTTTTTTCACTGGTATTTTAAAATTGGTTACCACGGGATTACAATCAGCAGTCTAAATTCATGTCAATCTAGTTTGCATCGATACCAACTTAACTTCAATAACATACAAAATGTGAAAGGATGGAAAAAGATATTTCATGAAAACAGTAACTGAAAGAAAGCTGTGGGCCTGTATCAATATCAGAGAAAATGGATGTTAAATCCAAAACAAGACAAAGGACATACTATATTAATAAAAGATTTATCAAGAAGATCAAAGAACTGGGAGAAATGAGCAGTTACTAATGAAAGGGCATAAAGTTTCAGTTAAGCGAAACGAAGAGGTTCTAGAGCTCTGTTGTGTGACACTGTGCCTGCAACAAACAACAGTGTACATTTAAACCTCTCCCCACCAGGGCAGATCTCATGTTAAGTGTTCACACCACACTAAAGAGAAAAAGATACAGCAATTATAAACCTTCACGCATCAAAGAACGGTGCCCCACGTAGCAGAATAAAGGAGATACTGACAGAATTAAAGGGAGAGACAGAGAGGATGACACCCACCCAGGCTGGAGTGCAGTGATGCAATCTCAGCTCACTGCAAATTCCGCCTCCGAGTTTCAAGCAATTCGCTGCCTCAGCCTCCCAAGTAGCTGGGATTACAGGCATCCACCACCACGCCCAGCTAATTTTTGTATTTTTAGTACAGACAGGGTTTCACCATCTTGGACAAACTGGTCTTGAATTCCTGACCTCGTGATCTACCCGCCTCAGCCTCCCAAAGTGCTGGGATTATAGGTGTGAGCCACTGCACCTGGCTATAGCTGGAGATTTCAATACCCAACTTTCAATAATGGATGAAACATCCAGATGGAAACTTGGCAAGGACACAGAGAACTGGAGCACTAAACAAACTAGACCTAACATATACACAGAATACTCCACCCACCAACAGTGATTACACGTTCTTCTCAAGGGCACATGGGACAATCTCCAGGACAGACCATACTTTAGGTCAAAATTCAAATTTCAAAAAATGTATAGACTGAACCCAAAGGATCTTTTCCAAGTACAATGGAACAGACCTAAAAAATCAATATGAGAGAAAATGGAAAAATTCACAATGACATGTGAGACTTCTTTCCTGAGTCAGATAATGGTTTCGAACACATGCAGACCACACTTCCTTAACTTTTTGGCATCTTCATAATGTAACAGCTATAGGAAAGCATTTTTTTTTTTTTTTAAAGACAGGGTTTCACTGTTATTGCCCAGAGTGGAGTGCAATAGCACCATCTCAGCTCATGCAGCCTCCGCCTCCCAGGTTCAAGCGATTCTCCTGCCTCAGCCCCCAGAGTAGCTGGGATTACAGGTGGCCCCCACCACGCCCGGTTAATTTTTTGTATTTCTAGTAGAGATAGGGTTTCGCCATGTTGGCCAGGCTGGTGTCAAACTCCTGGCCTTAGGTGATCTGTCTGCCTCAGCCTCCCAAGTGTTGAGATTACAGACGTGAGCCACCGTGGCTGGAGTTTTTTTTTTTTTTTTTAAAGACAGGGTCTTGGGAGGAGGAGGTTGCAATGAGCAGAGATCGCACCATTGCACTCCAGCCTGGGTGACAAGAGCAAAGCTCCATCTTAGAAACAAAAAAAAAGACAGGGTCTCACTCTGTTGCCCAGGCTGGAGTGCAGTGGCGCGATCTCGGCTCACTGCAGAGATCTGCCTCCTGGGCTCAAGCAAATCTCTCACCTCCGAAGTAGCTGGGACAACAGGTGCACCACCACACCCAGCTCACTTTTGTATTTTTAGTACAGACAGGGTTTCACCATGTTGGCCAGGCTAGCCTCAAACTCCTGACCTCAAGTGATCCACCCGCCTCAGCCTCTCAAAGTGCTGGGGTTACAGGCATGAGGGCACTGCGTCCGGCCTGACAAGCACTTTCAAGTTGTGTATGACTAATGCTTTCTCCATTCCTTTCTTATGTCTGGACGAGGCGCTGACAAACTATATCCCGGCCCAACATCAGTTTTGCTGATGAAGTCTTTCAGTACAGCCACACCAGATGTGAGGATTCATGGCAGAGACTACGCGACTCACAGAACCTAAAATAACTTACTCTTTATTTTTCCCTTTACTGAAAACACGTACCAATCTCTGCTTAGATGATCAACAAAACAGTAAACGAAGTGCTATTGATAACTTCTGTGGAAGAAGTGCTCCGACCAGGGCCAATTTCAAGCTGCCAATGTGTTCTTCAATGTGGAGTGGGGCAGAGGTTGGTGGCGGGTGGGGGGGACGTGAAACAGCACACCATTCTACGTAATTATTCCATGGGAAGAAGGATAAAATGTAGTTGAATAATTAGTAAGTACTGGGTTTTAAGTATTTACTACATTTAATTATGACTTTTTACCCAGTAATACAATTTTTTCAGTGGTTGTCTATAACACCTGCCTCCCTCCCGATAACGTATCAATCTACTCTTGTGAGTCAGCACAAGTCAAGTTCGCCATCCCTTGACTTACTGTTTCATTTTGACCTTCCTGAATCACTTTGTGTTTGGCCGGCCTCTGTATACAAGGCAGAGCAGAGGTGGGTTCTGTTTTGTAATGCAGTCCGGAAACAGGCGAGGTAAGACCTGTATTCGTTTGCTAGAGCTACCACGACAAACCATCACAAACGGTGTGGCTTCAACAGAAGCCGCTTGTCTCACAGTTCCGGAGCCAGAAGTCTGGGATCTAAGCGTCAGCAGGGCTGGCTCTTTCTGTGGGCCTGAAGGAAGGACAGACTATTCCAGGCCTCCTCTCCCAGCTGCTGGTGGCTTTGCTGGAAGTCTTCGTTACTCCTCGGCACCTTCCCAGTCTCTGCCTCCACGTTCACATCACGTATTTGTCTGTGTCCTCATTTCCCCTTTTTCTAAGAATACTAGTCACAGGTCAGGTATGGGGGCTCCCGCCTCTAATCCCAGCATTTTGGGAGGCCAAGGCAAGAGGATCACTTGAAGCCAGAGGTTGAGACCAGTCTGTGCCATGCAGCAAAACCTTGTCTCTACTAAAGAAATTTATTTAGGCCAGTAGTGGTGGCTCACACCTGTAATCCCAGCACTTTGGGAGGCTAACTGGATATATCACTTGAGGTCAGGAGTTCAAGACTAGCTTGACCAACATGGTGAAACCCGGTCTCTACTAAAAATACAAAAATTAGCTGGGTGTGGTGGTGCGCTCCTGTAGTCCCAGCTACTCAGGAGGCTGAGGCAGGAGAATCTCTTGAACCCAGGAGATGGAGGTTGCAATGAGCCGAGATTGTGCCACT